CCCAAAGCTAATATGGTTAAAACAATTTTAAATTCATTATATTATATTATCAATCAATTTTTCATTATCTATATTATTTTGAATATGTTGGATATACAGAAAAAGAATGGCTTCAAGAGAAATTAACACTGCAATGCAAATTGTATGGAAAATCTGATACTATAAAATAGTATCAAAGGGGGATTGATTATCAGGAAACTGAATTCCCACCCTAAAATGGGAATATCAGGTCAGAATATCACAAACCTTTATTAGGTGAGGCATTCAATTTTCATGAGATCTTAGTAGCATATCAATGGATGCTTTTCAAAAGAGGTGTAGTTATATCCAGTAGGTGACAACTCTAAATACCCAATGGATGTCTCCAGGTGGGGGTTACTTCTTTGTTGTGAGAGGTTCCAAATGACAAAATCAGCAGTAACAGAGGTTTGCTATTCAAAAAGGTCATTAGAGTTGTGGGGCTCTATGAGCAGAGAGTGGGCCACGGCTTCCAACACAGCCTGTTGTTTGGGTTCCACTACAAGTTTTCCCCAAATTCCACCATTTGAATTTATTTATTTTTTCTGTAGGGAAAAGACCAAGTTGTTTAATGCACACACTTCTTGGTTACAATAGCTGCTAGGAGTTCATTACTCTCAGGTCAGGAATTGGACTGTGCAGGGGAGGTGAACACTCAAGGGACAGCTGGAAACACACGAGACTTTTCCACCTTTATACATTGCCTTTCCATTGGTATCATCCTTTTCACCCCCACGCACCTCCCATCATCTGGGGCTCTTTTTTTCATTTTTTTTTTGTTCCCACATGAGCTAGTATAGTTTTCCCTGTAGTCTTTGGTGATTTCAACCCATTTTTAGGCATGAATTGTGTAACTAATTTTCCAGAACTTAATGGCTTGAAACAATAAAATCTATTATTTTCTGTTGGTCAGGAATCTGGGTGTGGTTTAGCTGGGTCCTTTGGTTCCGAGTCTCTCACAGACTGTAATAAAGGTGTTGGCCAGGATGTGGTCCTCCTATGGCTTGATTGGGGAAGAATCTGCTTCCAAGCTCATTCATATGGTGGTTGGCAGGATTCAGCTCCTCAGGGATTATTAGATCCTGGGCTCCAGATGAGAACCATAGTCTTAGGTGATACCTTGATCTAAGCCTGGTGAGACCCTGAGCAAAGAATCCAGTTACACCATGTCCAAACTTCTGACTTATAGAAACTGTGAGATAATAAATTTTTGTTGTTTTAAGCCACAAAGTTTATGGTAATTTGTTATGCAGCAGTAGAAAACTAACGCAAATGGATAGGATGGTGGGGGTTTCCTTACCTTCCCTCAATTTGGGTGAGAGCATTTGCTACTGGATCCCAGGAAGTCTTCTCTTATTCCTACCTTGTGGGAGCCTTTGTCCTTTATCTTCCAGAGAGATAGTCTCTGTTACCATCTCATCCTCATCTCCCAAGCTATCAAGAACTACAAGGGGTCTGTGATTTTACCCTACTTACAAGCTACCAAGCTAGCTTATTATTATTTTATGGATGCTGGTGGAAGAAACAAAATTCCTGAGTCAAAAACAAAAGTCTTCATTACTCATAGCAAAAGCAGAAGCCGGAGCTTCATGTCAATGCCTCAGGTTCCCTGAGTGCCATTATGGGAGACAGGTGAGGACAGGTTGATGCTATCACACTGTAGGTTTGTGTTGAAGCAGGGGAACATTGTGATTGAGGAATGTACCACTTGTATACTAAGTGGAAGCAAGCCTGCTCTTTGTCCTTGGGGTGATGTTACCTCATTCTTAGAGGTTTCTCACTGAAAACACAATCCCAGGAGACAGCCTGAGCAAAGACTAGCCAGGGCTTTGTGTTCTTGGCATCCCCAGCAAGAATGTGAATGATGCTAGGGTCTATGGTGGGCTGCCCCTCCCAACAAAAATAGAAGGAACATAGAGTAAATACTAAAATACTGACTTAAGAGAAATAGAAAGTGAAAAAGAAGAAACATTTAAAATTCAAAATAAATGAAGAATGAGATTTAAAGACTTAAAAAATAACTTTTGATAAAAAAGATTCAATATACAGATATTGGAAGCTCTTAGAAAACAAAGAAAAAGAACAGACCAAATAGTAAAGATTGAAAGTCATAATAAAAATTTTTCTGAAATGATTTTAAAAGAATTGAAACAGCACATTATGTACCTGAGGATATCAACTTAGGATGATCAAAACCAAGACATAATTTTGTACTGTTACTGAGCTTCAAAAAAAAAAAATCTTGAGTTTTTAAGCCTAAAGTTTTTAAGCCTAAAGGCCATACAATTTATAAGGGACAGAAAACTGGTTATTTATCAGACTCTTGTAAATGGAGTAATATATTTATGATACATAAAGAAAGAAAGGACTTTGTATTCAGCAGAAGCCACTTTTGAATGTAAAGAACATACAGTGCTTGAAGCTCTGGCAGAGCGGGGTGGGGAGGGAGCAGGGGCAAGATATGTAACCCTAACAATATTTGTACCCACAGAATTTGGGGGAGAAAAAAGAACATACAGTGTTTCAACATCTCAGAATTTCAGAATTATTGTTTCCATAAGCTCTTCCAAAGAATGAGTTGAAAATGTGCTTCAGATAAACAAAACAGCTAGAAAGCCCCCAATTCTCTCTGGGGTGGTGGCAAAGCTTATACACGAATTTACCAGAAGAACAAAGACTAAGTGGAGATTAAAAGACAGAGAGTAAACTGTGCAATGACTCTATTATTGGACAGTGTAGATGTAGTAAAACCATAAAAAGTGCAGGTGCTAGTGGCTGAGAAAGCAAAGGGCATAAACAAAAATTTAAAACTATTTTAGTAATCATAATTGGTAGCAATTGTACTGTTATACTGAAACTATTAAGTGTTTAATGTGGGATAATGTAAATGATTGATTATAGGATATTTTAACACTATTCAATTCTAATTTTATTCTATCCTTTACATGTTGTATTATAATTCACATGCATATGATATTCTGTTATACATATTATGTACTATACATCATTCTAATTTTATTCTATTCTAATTCTGTGTCTTTGAGAACTAGAATTCTCAGTGTAGAACAAAAGAGTTGTAATATAAAAGATTTATAGTATAAAGTTAAGTAAAAGCTTTGTAGTCCTATATTTCAATTGGAAATATCAATAAGAACTCTCAAGGTTTTTTTTTTTATCTATTTACCTATCTATTTATTCCCTTAAGAATCTTAGAAACGATGTGAAAAGATCATCCCAGAGAATTACTGGGTTAAGATTGCAATATCTTTATAATTTTGAGAGCTGTTGTCTAATTTTCCTCCTTACACTCCTATCATCACTGTATGACAGTGCTTCTTTCACTCAAATCTTGCTAACACAGATGTGTTATCAAATTCAGATTATTGTGAATCTCTTAAGTAAAATAAGCACCTGAATTTAGTTTCAATTTGCATTACTCAAATAGAAGTAAGGCTCAGCATATTTCACATGTTTAAGAATCATGCTTGTTTCTTTTTTCTGTGAACTGTATGTTATTATTGACTGTCTACCTTCCTTTTGAATTGTTAGCCTTTTAAAAATCAGTATCTGGAATTTCTTTTTATAATAGGGAGAATAGCCCTTAGTCTGTCATATGAGTTGCAAATATATATATATATATATTTACTGGTTGTTTATTTGTTATTTGGACTTTGCTTATAGATTAGTGATTTGCTTTTCCCTCATGTAGAATTTTTTTTAATATAGCCAAACATATCTTTTTTTGTTTTTAAAAGGTTCTGTATTTTGAAGCATATACATTATAGAACAGAATATTTCAGCCTAGACTAAAAACTCTTTCCATTTTATTTTCTGACACTTTACTGTTTATTTATACCATCCAGATAGGCAAAAGGTCCAGGGTATTAAAACAGGTCATTATTTATTTTTTTTTGTAAATCTGCCTAAGTAGTATAACAAAATGGAATTTACATTTCCCTTTGAAATGTAAAAATACTTGCCACCTACTGTCTTGCTGGAGTGTAGAGAGTCTCATTTTCACATTCTTATTATAGTTCTAAAAACCAATATGATCAGTCTGGTTGCTCTGGAGAATGGATTGCAGAGATGCGAGATTGGGTGTGGGAAGACCATTAATTCATCCCACAGATATTTATTGGGTGTTTCCTATGTTATAAGCCTCCAGATATTGAGTATACTGTGGTAAATAAAATAAAGCCCTTTGTTCTAGCGGAGGAATCAAAAAGTGAACAAATAAATACATAAGTTCAGGTAGTCAGAATTACTACAACATATAAAAGCAAAGCAGGAGACAGGGTGGGGAACAAAGGTTGCCATTTCTAGAGATTGATCAGGAAATGCTGCTCTGTCTGAGGGGGTGATATTTGAGCAAAGACCTGAGTGAAAAGGGGGAATTTGGTGGGAAAGTGGGTCATTGCTCAGATTGAGGAAGACTTTGCAGGCTATGATAAGAACTTTGGATTTTCTTTTAAAGGTAATGAGAAGTAGTTGGAAGGTTTTGAGCAGGAGTGTGATGTCTCTGATCTATAAAAGGGTTCTCTGACTGCTTTATGGAGAAACTATTGTAAAGGAGCAGAGTAGAAGCAGGGAGGCCAACGAATATTGGTCTAGGCAAGAGGTGATGATGTATTGAATTATGGTAATAGCAGTGGATTCAGAGACTAATAAACCTATGTGGGGAGAAATTAGTAGGTAGAATGGATAAGACTTGCTGTTAGAGTCTTACTTGAGAATGGGACATGGGTAGCTATAAGAAATACCTTCCAGATTTGTTAAGACCTACAGCACTGAAGTAGGAGCAGGTTTGGTGAATCAGGAAGGTCACAATTTTATTTTCATTAGAGGATTTGTGCAAAATCAGAGTGAGCACCCTCTTTGGAATGCCATGAGGAAGTTGGATATGGTGGCTTGGCTCTGGGAACATGGAGGTACTGTGTGTCCCGGAACTTTTATGATTATATGATTTAGATGACTAGCCCAAGGACAGATCACAGTAGGAGAACAACCAGCACCTTCCACAGAAAGCTGCACATGACAAAAGATCTAAGATGTTTGTTCTGTTTCTGCTGGGCACAGTCTTTCTGCTCTGCCCATATTGGGGTAAGTCCTGGAGATAGAAGGGCAGCTGGTGGTTGGTTAAGAGATAGGCAGATGCTGGGGAAGGAGAAGTTTCAAAATAGGCTCTTAGGACTGGTACAGATGTATGTGAGATTATGACAAGGAAGATTTTTCTTCTCCTCACAGGTAATCTTCAAGACACTCTAAAAGGTATAACCATGGCTTATCTGAAGTCCTGGGTAAAAACATTATTTGTGACATGTTTAGGAGTAAATCTCCCCTCCATCTTCAGAGAGGACTGTAATCTATTCTTACTATAGAATCCAAGAAGTTTCATCTTTTGAAAACCTGTTTAGTCCATTTCTCGGAGCAGGGAGACTAAGATTCCCTTCTTTGCTGCCTTTTACCCATTATTGGAGAAAATCATCAGGCTAGATAAGGAATTCTTTACTGGAGTCGATGGATAAATTTCACAAGAACACTGACCTCCTGAAATCATACACAGCATTTGATTTGTTTTTGTACACCTTATCATCACAAGGTTATCAAAGGATTCCATGGCCTGAGAAAGGTTAGGGACCACTAGGCAGGAGTGAGTTCCTATAGCAGAGCCTCCAGGCCCAGAGAACCTTCTCCAGACTGCATCCCCTAAGCACTTCTTTTTGTGTCTGGCAGAGACTGAAATAATGTGTTATAAATGTAGAAAATATCATCTTGGGTTGTGCTATGATGTCATGAAATCCTGCACTCTGAAGCACAAGCAGTCCTGTGCTGTTGAGAACATCTATATACTTACAAGAAAAGGTAATGTGGGGTATAGAGTGACTGAGAAACAAACCTCCTTCTTGGAGAACAGTGGTGTCCTTTTGTCCTCAGAGTGAGTGGGTGAACAGATAGGTGAGGATGGAGTAGTTAGGTAGAAGGGATGGCAAAGATGGACTTTTCTTTAAGACAACGTGGGGTGAAGGGGAGGCTGATGTCTCTTACCTGTTAGGGAACAAAATCTACTCTCTGGGTCAGCAATTACTAGACTCAGCCTAGAAGTTCATTTGTGGCTAGAGCAAAGTTAGTAAGCATCTGAAGACAGGTTATTCTTCAGAATATGGTAGGAAGAAGTGAAGTCATTATAGTTGTATTCCCTCTCTTTTCACTCCTCAGGGAAGAGTATGTATCATTATTCAAAACTGTCATGTATGACCAACTGTGAAGACATCAACTTCTTGGGTTTTGAAAAGAGGACTGAGCTTATCTGTTGCAATCATAGTAACTATTGCAACCTCCCTGAGGGACTCTAGTTCTAGAACTTTCCTGGATTTTGGATCATTTTTTAACCCATGTAATGGAATAATACTCATCAGGAGAAAGGAATTAAATGAAGAAATGAAAGAAATTTTACTCTTCTCTTCTAACCAATAGTAGAGAGGAAGAAGGTGGCTGGCAGTGAAAAGAGAAGCAGGGAGGGCAGCTGCGTCTTATGAATGGTGAAGCACTGGACTGAATCTTTGCAAGACTTAGTTTAATTTCCTCATGGTGATGCTGCTATGAATAAGCTCAGACTTGGTCATTTATTATCTGCTATATGAAAAATGTGAAGACTTGGGCCAAAATAATCCCAAACTTGTCCTAAGAATTCTGTGACCCTACTATCCTCATTTGCACATACTCCTCTGGGCTGGGGTTTTCCTAGGGTGGGCCCTAATACTTTCTGGCACTGTCCTTTTGCCTTTGGGTTCTGGAGAGGGCTGACCCTGCCTTTTCAATTTTCTGGAAACAAGAACCAAATCTTTCTCTGGTAGAGCTCTCAGAGGAATCTTGGGCCAAAAAAACCCACAAAAACACACAAAAAACAAAAAATGACAGCGATCAGGATGAAGCATTGAAAAAATTTTAGGGGCATTTCAGTTTGTAAAAACCAAGATTTGAGAGGCAATTTGTTGTGGGCAGAGTTGGTTTGAATTGTCATGGCTTTGGCTGGCCAGGTAACCTTGGGCACATGATTGAACTAGGTTATTGGACTGGGAATGGGGGTGTTGTTGGAGGATGGCTACTCTGTTCCTTCTCATGGGAATGAGAAAAAGATGCTGATGAGGCCCAGTAATTGAAGATGATAGAATGTGCAGGAATACTGTGAGGTAGTGTTCAAGTAACAGGGTGCCTTGTGTGAGATAGGGTTCTAAGATAGAACTACCTCAGAAGTAGTTCTGAGATAATAGAATGGTGATAGTGGTGGGAAGAGAAGCTGGCAGATACTGAATGAGACAAATAAGCAGAGAGAGACTGAGTAGCATCAATGTGGGAGTGGCACATGGCAGCCAAGATAGCGAAGCTTCCTTGGATACAGACTAGTCCTAGCATTTTTCTCCTTGTGAGGCCTACTGCAGTTCTTGGTCCTGGACTTCCACGAACTTTTTTCCTCTTACATTATGACATATAAAATTTTTACAATGAACCAACCAACCCTTTACTTGGGTAGTTTGGTGAACTCTGTCTTTGTGTCTAATAATGCAATCCCTTCTGAGGCATTCTCAATTTATGTTTTACAGAGTAAGAATGGAGACAGATTTGAAGACAACTTTTTCAAAACAGATAAGCAGATTGAAAAAGCCAATGCAACGTGGGTATTTTCAGTTTGAGTTATGAGCTCTAGTTTTATATGGATTGTCTCCTCCTTTGAATCATGTGGATGGTCAAAGTCAGTCTAGGAAAAGAAAAAGAGAACATTGTATAACTTTGGGTTTCAAAATAGACCTTAAAAATATATTTGACTCAGGAGGGAGAAAAAATGGTGGATTAGGGGTGATCTCCTGGCTCTCTGCTCTCAGAGTGAGAAGTGAAGAAAGTGGATAACTACATGTGAGTTAATTGCACTACTACAGGATCAGCTTTGTAAAGCTGCAGAGAAGAACACACTGGGGACAACACTGGGGAAAAACTAAGGTGAATCGGAGAATCTACAGCAAAGCCCAGAAAGTCTGAAATATACAATAGGGAGGGAGTGTGGGACCGCCCTGCCAATTGGCTGGCGGGCTGAGGAAGTGCAAGCTGTAGGGGGGGGGGAGTTTCTTCCCCCACCGACCTCCACTTCTACACAGGCAGAGAAGTGCCTGAAGTCGGTGGGAAGTGGTGGCACACATGGATAGGCTGTGTGGAGTAGAGACTGGAGTGGGGAACAATTTGAACTCTCCTGTATGCTCTGCCAAGGCAGCTTTGGGTGTGGGAGGGTCTGGACCCAGTGGACACTTCCCAGTACCGCAGGAGAGAGCTTGGTGACAGGCATCTCACTTCAGGAGGCTTCCAGGACCAGGCCGGGGGGTGGGGGTGTATACCTTAAAGGAGGCTCTGCCTTTGGAAATTGCTAAGGAGTTGGCTGGCGCAGGGTGATCAGGGTGCAGATTTCTGCACCTAAATGGTTGTGACTCGGCGTGTTGGGGAAGCAATGGGCTCCCCCTGCAATGGGCTGCAATGAGCAATGGGCTCAGCAGGTGGATTGGAGACAGACCTCCAAATTCAGCCCAGCTTTCCACCCTGCAGGTGCCTTCTGCACTGGTTCTACATGGGCAGGCAGCTGCCACTCTGAGAGTCCTGTAGCCTGGAAACACTGTTGCAGGTTTCTGTGGAAGTGGTCTCAGACCTCCCCCTTGCCGTACCCTGGCTGAGCAGGTCTGGCATTTGGAAGAGGGAAATAACAAGAGAAGCTTCTACTCCTCCAACCCTGCCCAGGGTCTTCCCATTCTGGTGGCTCAGGCTCTACGTTTGAAAGGGCATAAATGGGAGAGTGGTTGCTTGCGTGGCTAACTTGCCAGATTGGACTTGGGTGGTCTCCTGCCCCACCCAGCCACCTGCCCCACCCAGCTGCCTGCATTTCATACCAAGAGAACAGAGCCTGCCTTGACCTAGTAGAGTTGAGAAGGAGTCTGCTTTTCCAGATGCTACTTGGGGAGACATTGCTACCTGCACTCTCCTGCTACTCGAGCTGGGTGCTTCATGCCAAAGGGACAGACTCCACCTCTGGGTGGAGTTGAGAAGGAGGCTGTTCTTCAACTCGTGGCATGAGTCTGCTACCTCAACTTTGCTTCATCTTCCCCACTGGTGGCTGAAAGGCAGTACTAGTGCTCATCAGGACAGCCTTTCAAGCTGAGACCCATATCCACCTCTTTACTGTGGCTTGATAGCTGGTGCCTGCAGCCAAAGGGATAGTCTCATTCCTGGGAATTGCAAAGGGGTGAGAGAGTCTGCTTTCTGGGCTGGATCTGTTGGGGTTTCAGATGGCCCTTGGCTGCGACTAGATCACTGGGGTTTCATGCGGAAGGAACTGACCACACCTCTGCAGGGGTGGAGTGGCGCAGCAGGTAATTCTCTGGTCTGGGATCCTCAGTGGCCTCGGGCAGGGCTTCTCCAACAGCCCTGAGGTTTAGGCTACATACAAACTAGATAAATCCCCACCCTTGGAGGGGTGGAAGAACAAGAGTTCTTCCTGGGCTGAGATGCCAGGTAGCCCTAGGAAGTGCCTTTCCCCCAGTCTGGTGGGTTATCTTTCCCTCTGGCAGGGAAGACTCCACCCTTGCAGGAGGGGGGAAAATGAGAAAAGATCTTTCCCAGACTGAGACTTGTGGCAGTCTCATCCATCACCTTCCACCCAGCCCACCAAGACAGACTCAACTCAAGAAGGAAGGGAGAAAGGAGAAAAGTCACTTTCCCTGTATGACTAGCTTGAATAAGTGGGACCTTGGAACTAAGCAAAAGGGGGCAGAGTGATGTCTACATACATGGGTTGGTTTTGATTGTCTAATAAGATCCGAACACAAGGGCTTGCTCTTGGCACCCAGACTGTTGCCAGCTTAGGGGCTTGTGGTTCGGGAAGGTAATTCTAGATCACAGTCCTTAGCAATTGCACCAATTGACTCCCCCCACCAGGAACTGCTCTGCAAGAGTAATGAAAGGACTCTGAATAACATATTAGCAGCTCCCCCCTAGCTACAGATCAAGCAACCTCTGAAGTATTCTCTCTTAGGCTTACTGATACCTGTTGCTCTTCTCACCCTGCCTAAAGTAGTATCAGGGCTCTGGGAACACTTGAGAGTGACAGGACATTCCCCCCAAATTGAGATACCTGTATATAGTATTTGGAGGCTTAGAGCACAGTACAAAGGTTTTGGAATACCTTGATAATTGACTCCTCCACACAAACCACAAGCAACAAAAGAGAGAGTAAACTCATACCCTAACACAGTTCCTCCCAACTCAATCTAGTGGTTGATAGAGGACTCATGCTCACAGGAGTGATTTAACTCCTGGGTGTCTAAGCAAGGGGTTCAAACTCACTAAACTCTGAAAGCAGAAGGTGAAGACATCAGGTCAAAGATAACCCAACAAGCTCAAACTCCTCTAAGAGAAAACAGGACCAGAGCACATCTCCGAAGCTCTGCCAAGGATCATCCCTTTGGACTCCAGAATTTAGTCCATAAACCAGTCCCAGCACTTCTGGTCCTTGACAAAGTAGTCAGATGAGAAAGAACCAGTGAAAGATCATAGGAAACATGAAGGATCAGAGAGAAAAGTCACCTCCAAAAGTAAATACGTGATCTCTTCCAACTGACATCAACTTACATGATATGATTAAACTGACAGAGGAAGAATTCTGAATAAGGGTTGTTAGAAAACTCAATGGAATTGAAGACAAAGTAGAATCCCAACATAGAGAAACCACAAGAACAATTCAGGAAAGGAATGAAAAATTCTCCAAAGAAATGGAAATAATATAGAAAAACCAAACAGAAATCCTGGCAATGAAGTAAACATTCAAGTAACTCCAAAATACAGTGGAAATCCTCAAGAACAGAGTGGATCATGCAAAGGCAACAATCTCAGAGCTTGAAGATTATGCCTATATGCTAAACAAATCAGAGGAAGAAAGGGAACACAGAAACAAGAGACAAGACCAAAGTTTACAGGAAGTGTGGGATTATGTAAAAAAGCCAAATATCAGATTGATTGGAATCCCAAAAGGGGGGGGGGAGGAAGAATATTCACAAGGGCTGGAAAACTTATTTCATGGAATACTGGAGGAAAATATGCCGGGCCTGGCTAGAAATCTTGATATCTAGATACAAGAAACACACATAAATCCTAGGAGACTCCATGTGAAAAGGCAATCACCTCATCACATGGATGTTAAGCTGACCAATGTAAACATGAAAGAAGCAATACTCCATGCAGCGAGATGAAAGCAACAAATAAACTACAAAGGAAAGCCTATCAGACTAACTGCAGACTTCTCAATTGAAACCTTGTAAGCCAGAAGGAAATGGGTGCCTTTCCTTAATCTTCTAAAACAGAATAAAGCCAAACCTAGAATTATTTATGTGGCAAAATTAAGTTTCATCTATGAGGGAGAAATAAAGTCCTTCTTAGACAAGCAATCACTGAAGGAATTTGCAAAGACCAGACCAGACGTACAGGAAGTACTCAGACCTGCCTTATACACTGAACAGGGCAATAGGCACTCCTCAAAGTAAAATCATTAAAGAGTTAAAGGCTAGGACTTGAACTGCAAAATGGCTCAAGGAGTAAAACAAAACTACAGGACTTCACCCAACAATACAAATGGAAATCTTCCTCAAATGTCAATCCTCTCAATAAATGTGAATGGCTTAAACTGTCTTCTGAGGAGACACAGACTGGCAGAGTGGATAAAAATCCACAAGCCTAGTATCTGCTGTCTACAGGAATCACATCTGACCACAAAGATACCTTCCAGCTCAAGGTCAATGGGTGGAAAACGATCCTCTAGGCAAAGGGAAGTCAAATAAAAGCAAGGGTAGCTATGCAGATAACATAAACTTTAAAATAACAAAAGTAAAAAAGGATAAAGATGGCCACTATAATGGTGAAAGTGGAGATCCAATAAGAAGATTTAACAATTCTTAACATTTATGCACTCAATGTAGGAGAACCCAATTACATAAAGCAAACCTTGTCTGATCTAAATAGCATTTTAAACAATAATGTCATAGTAGCAGGGGATTTCAACACTCCACTGAATGAATTGGATAGATCCTCCAAACAGAAAATAAGCAAAGAAATAATGGACTTAAACAGAGCTCTTGAACAAAAAGTTCTGATAGATCTCTACACAACATTCCACCCAAATAAAGTTGAATTTATATTCTTCTCAACAGCCCTGGAACCTTCTCCAAAACTGATCACATACTAGGCCGCAAATAAGATCTCAACAAATTAAAAAAAAAAAAATAGAAATTATGCCATGTGTCTTCCTGACCGTAGTAGCATAAAATTGAGTTCAATTCCTACAGAAACACTCACTGTTTCACAAAGTCATGGAAACTAAACAATCTATTATTGAATATGTATTGGGTCAAGGAAGAAATTCAGAGAGAAATTAAGAGTTTCTTCGAACTAAATGATAACAGAGACACAAGTTATCAAAACCTGTGGGATAGAGCAAAAGCACACATGAGAGAAAAATTAGTAGCAATTAAATGCTCACATCCAAAAAAAAGAAAGCTTAGATACTGACAACCTAATGAATAGACTCAAGGAATTGAAAAAGAGCAAATCAATTTCAATCCTAGTAGTAGAAAAGAAATAACTAATATCAAAGCAGAAAATGAAATTGAGAACAAGAGAATTATACAGAAGATCAACAAAACCAGAAGCTGGTTTTTTTGAAAAGATAAACAAAATTGATAGCCCTCTTGCTAGATTGACAAGAACTCAAAGGGAAAGGACTTTCATAAACTCAATTATAAATGAAAAATAGAGGTCACAACACACACCACAGAAATACAAAAATTTTTGATTACTATAAAAAATTATATGCCCAAAAACTACATAACGAGTAGGAAATGGACAAATTCCTGGAAACATACAACCTCCATAAGTTCACGCAGGAGGTAACAGAATTTCTTAATAGACCAATCTCAAGTTCAGAAATTGGAGCAGCAATTAAAAAACTCCCAAAACGGAAAAGTCCTGGACCAGATGGCTTCACTTCAGAGTTTTACCAAACATACAAAGAAGAACTCATAGCTATACTGCAGAAATTATTCCACAACATTGAGAAGGATGGTATCCTTCCTAACTCATTCTATGAAGCCACTTATCACTTTGAAACCAAAGCCAGAAAAGGACACAACAAAAAAAGAAAGTTGCAGACCAATATCCCTCATGAATATAGATGCAAAAACCTTCAACAAAATTTTTAGCAAATAGAATTCATCAGCACATCAAACACAACAACAACAACAACAACAACAAATAAACAACAATTCACCATGACCAGGTGGGCTTTATTCCAGGGATGCAAGCCTGGTTCAACATATGCAAATCTATAAATGCAATTTGCCTCATAAATAAAAGCAAGAACAAAGACCATATTATTCTCATAATAGATGCAGGAAAAGCATTTGACAAAGTCCAACACACTTTATGATAAAAACTCTTAACAAAATAGGCATAGATGGCTCATACCTTAAAATTATCAAGTCCATTTAAGACAAATACAAAGCCAATATCATACTGAACGGGG